GCGCGCGCGCGAGCTGGAAGTGCAGTGAAACTGATCTCAGCTCACTGCCACAGCATCCGCCCTCCCGGGTTTACGCCATTCTCCTTGCCTCAGCCACCCTCCAGGAGGTAGCTGGGAAAACTAAGGCGCCTGCCACCCATCGCCCGCGGCTGCTAGTTTTTTGGTATTTTTTAAAGCTAAAGAGAGCGGGGGTGTTTTCACCGTGTGTAAGCCAGGGATCGGTCCTCAATCTCCTGACCTCGTGATCCGCCCGTCTCGGCCTCCCAAAGTGCTAGGATTACAGGCTTGAGCCACCGCGCCCGGCCCAAACCAAATCTTTGAGCTCTTTCCTTGGACTTATCCACGTTAACCGTAGGTTTGTTCTCAGGTGACAGACTTGTGTTGGAACTGAAGAAATCCCCAACCTAGCTGCCCAGGTAGCTTTCTTACTCTCCAAGCTCACACGTACACTGAATCGTTCAGCCCTCTTCCGCATTCTCTCAGAATGGTATTCAGATGTAATTTTCATTGAGTGGTATTTCAGATGTAATTTTCACCACTTTCTTCTCTGCTGCCACATCAACAGTTTTTTTCAGGGGGTTCTTCCTCTTTGACAGGGGGTTTGTTTCTTCTTCTGTTTCATCACCCAGTACATCTTCATTTGCCTCCCTTCAGCATGTTCTTCAAGATACGCCTGGAGTCTGTGGATAAGATCTTGCTTTATTCCCTTGGTCTCCAAACCCCAAGTAAGACATTCTTGTTTAGTTCAGCAAGCTTCAGCTTATGGAGCTCCACCATCTCAGTTACCATCTTGTTACCCCCTCCGGGTGTGCTCTTTTAATAATTGTATGTGGGGTGGGTTGCGGTGGCTCACGCCTGTAATCCTAGCACTTTGGGAAGCCAAGGCAGGCAAATCACAAGGTCAGGAGTTCGAAACCAGCCTGTAATCATTGTATGTGGGCCAGGTGTGGTGGCTCACGTCTGTAATCCCAGCACTTTGGGAGGCCGAGGTAAGCGGCTCACTTGAAGCCTGTAGTTTGAGACCAGCCTGGCCAACATGGCAAAACCCCCTCTCTACTAAAAATACAAAAAAATTAGCCAGGTGTGGTGGTGCACACCTATAATCCCAGCTACTCAGGAAGCTGAGGCAGGAGACTCTCTTGAACTGGGGAGGCGGAGGTTGCAGTGAGCCGAGATCGCACCACCGCACTCTAGTCTGGGTGACAGAGTGAGACTGTCTCAAAACACTAGAAAAAAAATTGTATATGGATGTTGCATATTAAAAGCAGTCCTCTGTGTCTGCACTTAACGTGCTTCCCTTTGGACTAGTGTCTCAGAGGCACTGCCTCTTCCTTGAAGCCTGACCCTTCTCAGAGGCCCTGACTGTCTATACTTCTGTGAGATCATTCCTCCCCTCTGCCTCATGTTAAGGTGTCCGTGAATTCACCTTCCTGGAGGAAGGTGTCAGCTGGGGGCCATTAATTTATTTCTGTGGGTCAGGCACGGTGGCTTATGCCTGTAATCCCAGCACTTTGGGAGGCCGAGGTGGGTGGATCACCTGAGGTCAGGAGTTCAAGACCAACCTGGCCAACAAAACCCTATCTCTACTGAAAATACAAAAATTAGGTGGGCGTGGTGGCAGGCGCCTGTAATCCCAGCTACTTGGGAGGCTGAGGCAGGAGAATTGCTTGAACCTGGGAGGCGGATATTACAGTGAGCTGAGATCGCGCCATTGTACTCCAGCCCAGGCAACAAGAGTGAAACTCCATCTCAAAAAAAAAAAATTATTTCTGGGATCTTGTACTCCAGCCTTCCTTTCCCCACCCGCTCTTAACTCCTTGAAAAGATCTTATATACAGGAGGCTCTCAAAGCACTGGGTAATGACTGCTCTCAACGTATGTGTCTCATTTTGTAGGGCATGCCTAACATAAGCAGCTTCTTCCTTGCTTGGTTGGGCTTTGCATACTTTTGCTACTTTATTTCCAGTACCCTGAACCCTTGGTGGGTCAAGAAGTCGGAAGGGTTCCCTCCCACTGTCTTCAGACATCGTCAATAGCAATTGCACCTCTTTGTTTGATTCCTCTCGTTTTCTCTCCTTTCTACAGAGTCGGGTGCTGCTGTCTGTGAATTCTTTTTGAAAGCTGCCTGCGGCAAAGGTAAGAAACTCTGGGCTCCCTGATGTGCTTCCTGAGGCGCCCTTCCACCTCCTTGTCCCCATCTGAGTTGGAGGCCGCCAGAGCTCTGGCTCACATTGCTTTTTACAGACTAACGATCTCTGTAGATAAAACTGGTTTGGACAGGCTAGGAACCTGATGGGGTATTCCACCTGAAACCTAAACGCAGGACTGAACCTGGCTCTAAGGCTGCCTTATCACTTCGCATTCCCCGTGGCCACAAGCTGATGTGACATGGAAAGAAGCCCCCAGCATTGAGACATTCAGGAACTTTCTCAATGTCACAGAGTTAATCAGTGGCGGAGCCCAGTGTCTGAACCCAGGTCTTTCTCATTCCACAGTCTCCACGGGCTCATGGTTTTCTGTGGCCTCCCATCCAAAACACCCCATGATAACCCATCTTGTGGGGTCTTGTTCTCGATAACCAGCCCCCAACACAGACTACACAAGACTACTGAGGTGGGAGAATCCCTTGAACCAGAAAGTCAGAGGTTTCAGTGAGCCGAGATCATGCCATTGCACTCCAGCCTGGCAACAAAGCAAGACTCCATCTCAAAAAAAAAAGAAAAGACCTTGCTTCATTCCCTTGGTCTCCCAACCACGAGCAAGACATTCTTACTTTAGTTCAGCAAGTTTCAGCTTATGGAGCGCCACTGTCTCGGTCGCCATCTTGTTACCCCTCCGGCTGTGCTCTTTTAATAATTGTATGTGGGCCAGGTGAATCCATCAGAAGTATCACTAGGGGCCAGGCGCGGTGGCTCACGCCTGTAATCCCAGCACTTTGGGAGGCCGAGGCGGATGGATCACCTGAGGTCAGGAGTTTGAGACCAACCTGGCCAACATGGTGAAACCTCATCTCTACTAAATATACAAAAATTAACTGGGCGTGGTGACGCCCATCTATAATCCCAGCTACTCGGGAGGCTGAGGCAGGAGAATCACTTGAACCCAGGAGGCAGAGGTTGCAGTGAGCCAAGATCGCACCACTGCACTCCAGCCTGGGTAGCAGAGGGAGACCCCGTCTCAAAAAAAAAGAAGTATCACTAGGCATAACCTTAACTTTCCATGGTCTGGGCATTTTTCTCCTGTAGGAAAATTTATTTAGGAGACTTAAATATTAATCAGAAGCTTGAAAAAGGGGAGCAGAGAATCAGAGCAAAGGGCTGGTTTTAATGAATGGTTTGGTGAGCTTTGCTTCTATAACATAGTCATTTACCACTGAGGTAGTAGACTTCCTGGCAGATCAGCCAGGCCAACTTCACAATGTCATCAGAACGTCATTACCTCCACTGGGCCTCTGGTCTTGCTCCCATGTCTTTGCTCAGTAATTCTGCCCTTCTGACCAGCCGCCTTCTGTTAGCACAGCCATCCCTAACACAGGGCATTCTGACTGTCTCTCTGTTGACTAATACAGTAGCCACTAGTCACATGTGGCAGTTCATATTTAAGTAAAATCAAATCACATTTAAAACTTGAAATTCTCAGACACACTAGTCATGTTTCAAGTGGTCAGTAGTCACATGGGGCTAGCAGCTGCCATATTGGACAGCAGAAGTGTAGAATGGACCTCCATGGTTGTCTTGCCAGGCCACCTGTTAGAAGTCCCGCACATCCCCAGAGGCTGGCTCTGTCCCAAAAGGCACACGTCCCTCCATGTGTATACATCACATTTCCTCAATTCTGAAATTGGTCTTTCTTTTTTTTTAAGAGGCAGCATCTTACTCTGTCACCCAGGCTGGAGTGCAGTGGCACAGTCATAGCTCACTGCAAGCTCAGCCTCCTGGGCCCAAGTGATCCTCCCACCTCAGCCTCCCCAGTAGCCGGGACTATAGGTGTGCACCACCACACCTAACTAATTTTTTTTTTTTTTTCAGACACGAGTTTTTGCCCTCTGTTGCGCCAAGGCCTGGAGTGCAGTGTGGTATCGATTGGCCTCACTGCAACTTCTGCTATCCTGGGTCAAAGAGCATTCTCCTGCTTAGCCTCCGACGTAGCTGGGATTACAGGTGCACACCGCAACACTCAGCTAATTCTCTTTTGTATTTCTCTTAGGTAAAGACACGGTTGTCATTATGTTTGGCCTAGACTCGGTCTCGAACTCCTGACCTCACAGATGATCCCACCACTCGGCTCCAGAGTGCTGGCGATTACAGGTGTGAGCCCGCTGTGGTCCTGGCCTCCACCAGCTTGCTTGCTTGCTTACTCTTATTTACTTATTTATTTAGCTTTAGTGAAGACACAGTCTCAGCCTGGACTCTCGAACTCTGGCGCTCAAGTGAATTTCCTGTCTTGGGCCTCCCAAAGTGCTAGGATCATAGGTGTGGAGCTACTAGACACCCGGCTAAGTTCATCTTTCTCTTTTTTTTTCTTTTTTGTTTGGGGGGCGGGATAGAGTTTTGTTCTTGTCCACCCAGGCTGGAATGTGCAATGGCGTGATCCTCCGGTCACTACAATCCTCCGCTCCTGGTTCAGCGATTCTCCAGCCTCAGCCTCGCCCAGTAGTGAGATTACCAGGCCCCCGACACCACGTATACCCAGCCTAACTGTTTTTTTGGTATTTTTAGTAGAGATGGGGCTTTCTCATGTCGGTCAGGCTGGTCTCGGAACTCCGACAGGCTCGTGATCCACTGCACCGGCTCAGCCTCCAGCGCATCTCCCTCTTTTTTAGCCTTCCATCTCTACAGTAATAGTCTGTGACGACTGATGAGTAACTTTTTTTTTTTTTTTTTTTTTTGAGAGGGATGTCTCGCTTTCACCAGCGCTGAGTGCAGTGGCGTGGGATTCTCGGTTCACCTGCAAGACTCCGCCTTCTGGATTCATGCATCTCCCGCCTCAGCTCTGAGTAGCTGGGACTATAGGCGCCCAGCTAATTTTTTTGTATTTTTAGGTAGTAACAGGGTTCCACGTCGTCAGCCAGGATGGTCTCAATCTCCTGACCTCATGAATCTCCACCCGCCTCGCCTTCCAAAGTGCTGGGATTACAGGCGTGAGCCACCGCACCCGGCCATGAGTAACTATTAAAATGTAAAGTGTCTGTCACGTGACTGCCGTCAAATTCATGTTGCCTTCTGTGAGCAGACCTCTGCCCCCTTGCAGGACATGATGCCCTCGAGTGGCTCCAGGAGTTAGGAGGTGAAGATGCCTCAGCTTCTCTAGGTGGCCTCTCTGCTGACACCCTGTCCCTATCTTCCGGCAGGGGGTACTGTGCTCCGTTTCGCCACATCAGTGGTAGAAAGACAGTTGTGTGCAAACCACTGT